ACAGCCATTTACCCAGATACATTTCACAAAGCCACAAATAAATTACAAAACTGTAAATATAATTGTTACAGCTGCAAACTTTTCCCCAGTTTGTAAACTATGTCTCTCAGCAATGTCTCTCAGGCACAGTAACACAATGTACAAAAAATATCTTTAGAGCATGTCTACTGGGGCTTTCTGTTTGCCTCCCTGTCACCACACAGGATGGCAAAAGAGCCCTTCTCTGGTGGGACTTCCCTCCCTCAGTTCAGAAGTGTCTAGTGGGGCAGGTGGTTCTTTGATTTTTGGGCCCAGCCATCAGGTTCAGACCTCAAAGGGACTGAAGTAAGGTTCATTATGCTGTCTAGGTGTTTGTCCTTTATTCTTTTTTAAACACAAAGTACCTAGGCATGTAAGAGACAAAAATACAAGTCCTTCACAAGTGGCTGAAATCCTTGTTCCACTGTGTGACAGGTGAAATCTCTGACTGCCTGTGAGTTCAGCCTGGCCACTTCAGCTCATCAAAGCAGCCACGAGCTCCGGATTTCAAAATCCTTTGCTTATTTTTGCACCTCTGTCTCATCAAAACTGGAAGCTCCGATAACAAATCTACCCAGGGCGTCCTTTCAGCTTCCTGCTGCAGCTTCACTTTTATGACGGTGTTAGCAGGATCTTTCATCATCCGCCTACCCGGAGCGTCCTCTTCATGCCCACACATTTCATTCCTATTTGAAGTAAAAAGTAAAAGCTGTTCAGCTTTGCTTAGAGCATAGCTGGGGATTACAAACAAAGATATTATGATTAAAATAAAGTCAGCCTGTTCTCTTAAGACATAGTGACCCCCTACTCACTTTGCCATCTTGGGAAAGGAGTTTACCCCTCCTCCCAGACCTGCATATTGGGACTGTCAGCCCCATAGCCCCAGAGAGCGGTGACAGAGGCCTCCCAGTGGAGGGGTGCTTGAAACAAATGTTTTAAAGCCTAATTTTGCAATAAGGCCTTGGGGAATTTTTGTTGCTTTGTTTTGGGTTTGTTTTCCTGCAGATTCCTCCCTTCCCTTTCTCAATCATTAGTCTTTTCCAAGCCTTAATCCAATAATTTAAATGTTATTAAGACTTTCATTTTCATGTTACAGATTGTTACAACACTGTTGAAGAAATTATGCTCATCAAAATTTCCTTCCCTGAGTTTTCCACAGCCTGTTTTCTGATCATACTGTTGCTTACCAGATCACTGCAGAACCACTAATTTCATTTTGAGCTTCTTTGATAAAATTTAAACAGTCTATTTTGATGTCTCAGTTGCTGGACTCTCTTCTGTTTCCCTTGAAAAGCCTCCATTTAGGAATAAGGGTTCTGAATCCTAGGGTTCAGTTATAAGTTGACCTCAAATATCCTCAATTTGCCAACAATGAATCCGATATTCTGACTTGAGTGCACTAACACAGATACCCAAATTCTCACTCAAGGACTCGAGAATCATAGAGTGGTTTGAGTTGGTAGGGGCCTTCAAAGATCATCTAGTCCAACCCCACTGGAATGAGCAGGGACATTTTACAAGGTTGCAAGAAGCCCCATCCAATCTGACCTTGAACACTTCCAGTGATGGTGCATCCACAATTTCTCTGGGCAACCTGCTCCAGTGTCTCACCACCCTCACTGTAAAAAATGTCTTCCTTATGTCCAATCTAAATCTATCCCCTTGTAGTTTAAAACTGCTACCCCTTGTGTTATCACTACAGGCCCTGGTAAAAAGCCTGTGAACATCTTTAAGTATTGAAAGGCGGCCATAAGGTCTCCCCAGAGCCTTCTCTTTTCCAAGCTAAACAACTCAAATTCTCTCAGACTTTCTTCATAGGAGAGGTTTTGTATCACTCTAACCACTTTCGGGGCCCTCTTCTGGATCTGTTCCAATAGGTTCATGGCTGTCTTGTGCTGAGGGCCCCAGAGCTGGATGCTGTACTTCAGGTTGGGTCTCAGGAGAAGCCACAGGCATCTGGAGCTTCCAAGTAAGTCAGTATGCAAAAAAAACACCCCAAAGAAAACAAAGCTCTAGAATAATAAAATTACATATATATGCATAAATATATGTATTTATAGTCTGTGTTGCATCCATCTGAAAATTCCAGCTTTAGCCATACTTATAACTTATTCATCAGGTATTGTGGTTTAATCCCAGCTGGCAACTAAAAGCACCACACAGCTGCTTGCTCACTCCCCTCCCCCCCAACCCCAGTGGGATGGGGAAGGGAATCAGAAGAGTAAAAGTGACAAAACTTGTGGGTTGAGATAAAGACAGCTTCATAGGTGAAGCAAAAGCCATGCACTCAAGCAAAGCAAACCAAGGAATTAATTCACCGCTTCCCATGGGCAGGCAGATACTCAGCCATCTCCAGGACAGCAGGGCTCCGTCACACACATAATGGTGACTTGGGAAGACGAATGCCATCACGCTGAACGTCCCCCTCTTCCTTCTTCTTCCCCCAGCTCTATGTGCTGAGCATGACGTCCTTTGTTATGGGATATCCCTTTGGTCCGTTGGGGTCAGCTGTCCCAACTGTGTCCCCTCCCAACTTCTTGTGCACCCCCAGCCTACTCACCGGTGGGATGGGGTGAGAAGCAGAAAAGGCCTCGACACTGTGTAAGCTCTGCTCAGCAGTAACCAGAACATCCCTGTGTTATCAGCACTGTTTCCAGCACAAATCCAAAACATAGCCCCATACTAGCTACTGTGAAGAAAATTAACTCTACCCCAGCCAAAACAAACATTCAAAGGAATAGGTATTCATAAAGCAGTAAGATCATTTTCAAGATCTGTATTAGACATCAGTTTTGAAATTCAATTTTAATGTATAAGTGAACTGTATTTTGTAATTTTCTAAGGAATTACCTTAAAATTGAAAACATCATAGCAAGGTATTGTGGAGTTGCAGTGACACACTTGCAAATACCATTCTTTTTCAAAGGGTTAAAAATGTCACACCTCAAGTTGCACAAATATTCTCCTGTGCCGTGACATTAAAATCTCACAGTAGGGGAAGGTTATACCTGTGCTGGGGTGATGGTGAAGATTTGCTGTGGGCTTGGCAACAGTTCAGCTGGGGTTGGGCAACCTGATAGAACGGGTTTCGGTAGCAGTGAGCTGAGGCTGAGGTGGGGGAGGCCATGGAAACCTTCAGTTTGAAGCATGCACAGATGTCTGCAGGTGGGAGCCCACCACACACCCGCATCAGAGCAGGACCCAAGGCTATCTGCTACACATGCAGGAACAAGGACAAGCAGAGAGCTGCTCGCACCAAGCACCCTGAAAAACCTTCAAAGAGCAATGATTTAGGCCACAGAGGTTGCTGCAAGACCTGCAGCCAGTTATGCCTGAGCAATAAATATATAAATATTTAAATTATTAATAAATAACTTAATTTATAATTAATAAATAAATAACCATATACTACAGGATCTGACTCAAGCGGGCCTTTGCTTCACAGACATTGGGGTGGTATGGCACATCAAATGCACGCTACACATGAACAATTGAAATGTCACTCTCTGACTTCTCATTTTCCCTCAGAAGCTGTAGATAGGTTTCAAAATGAATTTTGATTGAAAGTTTGCAAAGATTTCCATGTGTGTTCTCATTCAGTAGTGATCCTTAAAGGTAATGTGGCTTTTGTGACACTTAGATTTGAAACACCCACCAGTGCTGTGAAAGCACCTCTATAGTTATTGCAGGCATTAACCTAATGCATTTTAGGAGGATTTATGGTTTTGTTTGTCAGCTTCTAGTTAAAGAAAAAATTGTATGTAAAACTGTCAGTTCCTTTAATATTTAATCAGATTATTATTAAGTACAGAAGTTAAACAAACTAATGTATTCCTTTAAATCTCTACAGACACCTGCCTATTTACTAAGAGATTGTGGTCTATATCCCAGACCCTTTGTGGCCAGTAAGGTCTTTCTGTGATAGATACTTGCTTTGTGAGAAAAGACGGGTCTCTGCAGGACTATTGTTTTCCTCCCTTGTCATCCATCTGTGTTGAGAGAGAAGAAGGTGGAGAATAGGTGGGGCTCTGGCTCACCACCTGCTTTGCTGGAGCACAGAGTTGTGCCAACTGGCTGGGCAATGAGCACTAGGCCAGACACCAGCTGCTGTGAGGATAGCTATTGCCATGGGGGCAGAGGAGGAACCAAGCGTAGCCCTTTGCATCACAGTTTGCTTTCTGGGCTGTCCCTGAAGCAACACACCAGTGCTCCACCCCATGTAGCAAATTCACAGGAAGCTTTGTAATCTGGTTATTCTAGTCTGTGACTGCAAACAGTAGGAAATTAGTTTATTTATGTTAGAGGTGCTCCATATTTATTTATCCAAAGGAACTCTAAGTAGTTACTTTATATTCTTAATGCCCTGAACCGGAGGTAATTTTCACGCTGTACATTTTATGGATACCTGCAAATGACTCGCCGGAAGAAAGGGGGTGTTGTTCTATTTTAATTATGTCATAATTTATACCCCTCCCCTAGACTGAGATTGCAGGGTGAGGAGAGCTGGCAAGCCAGAAGACAGAGATGTAAAAAGGTTCCAGAGGTTCATCAGCCACCTCGTGTCAATTACAGGGCATTTAAAGCACATGACAGACTTTTTACCTTCATGTTGTCCTTTAGGGTCCTGTAAACAGCAGGTTCCTGTGAAGATTCATGTAGTACCAGCACAAGTGACTTGAGGTAGGATTAAAGCGTGGTTAACCTCACATTCAAGAGGAAAAGGGGAGGAAATGAGAGAAGAAAGGTTGTGTAGAACACCCAGGCAGTACTGCCCACATTTGCAAGTGATGTGAAAGATTTGGAAAAACCAGTCAGGGCTGGTAGAAAACCTCTCATTAATACCAGTAGGCTTTGGATCAGGCCACTGATGTCTCCAGATAATCCATATCTCTTGCACCCCTCCTTGCTGGCCAGTTTATCCAATCCCTTCCTTGTTAATTCAAGAAGAGTTTTTCTTGTTTCTAATTATGTGTTGCTTGCAGGAGCAGGGTGAATGCCACCCTTTCTAAAGACAGAAGTGTTACCCTGTCTTGTCCCTGTGAGACTGCGTCTGTCCAATGACATTGTGGTGAACCGTATATTTTGTCTCAGCCCACATTCTCCTGGATTAGTACAACCTTTGGAAGACCTCCCTTCCTCTTCCTTTGCTGTACCCAGCTAACCCATATCTTCTGGAAAGAGATATAAGCAGCAGGATCAGTCTCAAGGTATATTAGCAAAAAGAGATAAAAGAATTACTGTCTTGTCACTTATTGATATCAAGGTGCAAATCTTTTGAAATGTATGAAGGGAGAGTTAAGAATTCTTTGCTGGCCTCAGAGGGGTGGGTGATGGGGAAGCCACTCTCCACACCACTGATTGTGTCATGACATGGTGGTGGCTAGAAGAAATTTGTTGGATGTGATGTCAATCCAAATATGCCCAGAGAGAATTCCTCAAGGTAAGTTATTTCATTATTTACCTCCTCACACTTTTAACTAGGTTTGAATTATATATAAGGCTTTATGTATGTCAGTCTTCAGACTTCATCTGCCTTTTTCAGATGCTTTCCTGACAATAGCATCCATTAAAGTTCTATCCTTCAGGGGTGTGAGTCTCATAGTAATGTAATTCAGTGATTTCAGCAGGTTCATGAGGCCTACATTTGGGGTGGGAATGAATAAAAGGTAGGTGTTTGGAGGCACATGTAGTAGTTTAACAGCATGCAGCTATTCAAGTCCCTGTTTAGTTTACAGAGAATTCTAGAGATGATATGGTATGTCAAAGGGTCTTATTTTTTCTAAAGAATTAAGGAATATAGTTAATGTAATATGGATGAGCTTTCACATGCATGTAAATCTTTGTGTGCTTTGAAGTGTTGTTCAACTAAGGCAATCATGAATTATGTAACTCAATAGAACTAGCAGCAGCACCAAGCCTGCTACTTTTCTATTTTTGCATAAGTACATATGTATTTGTCTTTATCTGTAGTGTATTAGTTTTGATTTAAATACAGAACCAAATTCTGTTTTCATTTATGTTGCTATCAATCACGATTAACTGAAAGGTGCATCAGGCGATGCAAATGTGAAATGAGACTTAGATAAGTAACTTTGAAATTCTACAAAATATATGTTGTTATTTATCTATCCCCAAACTTGAAAATGAAACCTTGAGATACCACTACCTCCTAACTATGGAAACTTTCCAAATTTCATTGAAAAACTGTACTGAAAAAATCTATTTAAAAGTTAACCCAGTCTATGAGATAAAAGATAGTTGTGGACATTGTTAATAAAGATTACCTCATACAGTGCTAAATATTTATAGAGAGAACTGTGAGTGGAGATAATTCTTCTGATTATAGCTTGGCTATATTATATACATGAAAATAGAAATAGCCTTGAAATAGAAACCCTGGTATTGAGTATTCAGTACAGACATAGCTCACTTGAGAATTGTTTTCTAAGGGCATTTGGTCATTGCAGGGACTAATTTACTTCAAGAGCAATTTCAGCCATTAGTAGCTGCAGCCCCTCACAAAAGCCAGTGTTTAAGAGGCAGCAGGCACTCCTTGCTGCCATCATTCTCAGTGCCGCCCTGCGTGCTGGGAGGAGGGTTGGGTACAACACAAGGGAGAGGCACGGACTGGTTGCAACAGTGGAGCCACGTGGTGTTGTGTACACAGTGTGCTGCATAAGGAAAATTGGGAGCATGCCACGTCCATAGTTTACAGAGAGAGAACTTTCTGTTTTCTTCATTGCTGCACTGGACCATGCACAGAGCGTCCCTTCTGCCTTCCCCTTGTCAGTCCTGCCCGGCTTTACAAAAGCCTGCCCTGTTTGTACCCCACTGACTGGAAAAGCGTCATGCCAAAGCCAAGTGCTCAGCTATGACTTCACACCACTTCTAGATGAACTGTTTTCAGATCCGTGGAAAGTTATTTATGCAGAAGGCTCATTAAGTTTCCCTTTCTGCTACTTCTGCTGGGCCGAGTGGCCCAAGAGCTTTACTTCTCTTTCACAAAAATATTGAAAGAGAGGGTAATTCTAAGCATAGCACAACTTATTTTCATTAGAGAAAGAAGTAAGGCTGAAGGGATATTTAGTGGCACCAGCATCTGGAAGGCAGTGAGTCGCTTCTCTGAAATGCTGCTTGGACAACCTCAGACTCTCCTTGGCAGGGCAGACAAAAAGCAAAAACCTCAAAAACCTTGCAGTGAGAAATGGATGTAGCTGGGTCACCCTGACCAGCAAGTGGGATTATGAGTGGGATTACCCAGCCCAGTACAATGAAGATATATTTACATAAATTAGCTAATGCTTTGGTTCAGATTTGGTTTGTAAGCTGGTCAAGACTGCATAAAGGCTTTTTTCAGTCATATAATATGACATGATCTTAAAGACTATTTTTCTATTTTCCCTGGATAATAGTATTGTACTGTCTTCTCTGACACTGTTGTCAGATGAGTATAAATCATAAGTCGTCTTTGATTTTGGGAAGCATTTTATATTAGCATCTTGCCTAGGAAGGTTCTTGCCACAGCGGGGCCCAAAAACATGAGCTCTGGCCCACTGGGTCTGTCCAGGTAAATATCCTTTTTTTAATATCGGTTTAATTGCAGACTAGGCCTGGGGTTTCAAATCCTGAAAGAAGTTCATGTAAGAGGAATTCATGTAAGAGGAACGGTAGAAAAAAAGCAGAAAGAGAAGGCTACTTGTCCAAAATATATAGAATGAAATGTTAGGGAAAAGCAACAGACTATAAAACTGTTGGGGGAAAAAAAAAAAAAAAAAAAAAAAAAAAAAAAAAAAAGAGGAAGGATAGAAGAATAAATGTGTAATCAATAACCAACCTTTAAAAACAAAATCACCAAAGTTCTAAGGTTCTTACATTCAGACTGTATCAGCCTATTATAGAGAGATATCAGCTTCAGTCTGAGTTATGCTGATATCTGTCTTGTCCACTTTTAGCCACATTTAAAATAGCCTGTTTTTAATTTCCAGATGGCTGTGTCATTCACAGAAATTCCTCTTATTCTATTTACATCATATTTTTAAACTATTTGCCCATCTCTGTTCATGTACATCATGTTCCCTTCCCTGCATGTGTGCTCTGAAATACCGTCAAAGGCAAAAGGGCCTTCCCTTTCCAGAATATTTTTGCCTGGCATGGCAGTGCTTGATCTTCCCTGCAGCTCCCAAGCGTCAGCGCTGGGCTGGCACTGCAAACCATGCCTGCTCATCTGCTGTGCTGGGACATCCCTCACACCACCTCACCACCTTCCAGACCACACCATGGTTTAGAGACAGGAGTGAACGGTCAAGCAAGGGTTTCCTCAACAGCCTTTTCCATTCAGAGGCTGGGAAAGAGTCTCTGGCTTTCTCAATCACACTTCCAATTCCTTTCTCTAGGTATGTTAAGGCCAAATACCCTCCAAACTATTCGCTGACTTCAGTAAATTCTGGGAGATAAAAAATCTCTTTCAAATGGAGCAGGTTGAGAGAGGACAAGACAAAGGGCAAGCTTCAGTTTTTTGACATACACAGGAGGTAATTACCTGATAACTCAGAAATAATATGAACCATCTCAGCTAAAGCTACATAAAACTGTATCTGTATCCATGTGTTCTTTCAGAGGGCTTCTTTGTCACGTTTTTGTATGGTAAGTATCTTTTCTGGTTCTTTCCTTGGGAGCTTCAGTTGACATCATAGACTTCTTACACTTAAGTTTCTAAAATCGTGAAGAAAACTAAAATTGCTGCTCCAAAACCCTCAAGTTGTGCACGGCAGGAACTGCCTTTGCTCTCTTCTGGATGCTGTACAAGTACAGTTTGGCACTGAGTCACAAAGGAGGCTCCTCAGCATGACACAAGATAAGTAAGAGAAACAAAAGATGAACCAAAAACTTGTCAGTAATTTGCTATGTGACTATGGGCAGATCCAAGCACAATATCCTCATTCCCCCTTGATTAACCCACTCATCAAATCACCAAGCCTTTCTGAAGCAAATTCAGCCTCTTCAGTAGTATTTGATAATGTTGTGTTAATCTTGTATGGACTAGCAATGACATGATACTTGTTCAAAACTAAACTATTCACCATTTTTATTTGTTATTTTGACATGTTTCTCTAAAATTGATATAATTTGCTCACAGTAATTTCAGGTTCCTAATAAAAACAATAGGACCTGTAGGGCTAAATCCCAAAACAACTTTCTGAAGCAGTGCTCTGGGACTCAAAGAAATAGTCTAGCAAGACCTGAAAATCTCATTTACCTTCTTTTTTATTTTTGTATTTTATTTTTCTTTTTGTTTTCTGTGGATAGCAAAACAAAATAATTTTGTGAGCTTGAGGCTACACAGTTCCAATTGCTATAATTACATAGGCAGGAATTTCACAATTGTACACTAAGTTAACTCTCTTACAGTCTAATGCTTACTTTGCAATTTCTAGGTTGTTTAGAATGGGAAAAGGATTTATGTGGTTAAAAATGTGTGTTTGCTATTAACTAAACCTAACCACATTAACTAACCTCTATTCACAATCTTTTCCTGCTGTAAATTCAGGTTTGTTATTTTTTTCCTTGGTTTTTAAGCTCAAATCTAATTTCCAATTCTAGGATGGTCCTCAAATAGCTAAATCACAGAAAGAGAAAATGCTGAGCTAATTTTAACCTCTTTTTGTTATATTAGAAACAAATTCTTTACTATTAGACTTGTTTTACTAGATTCCTTATGTGTTCAGTTAGGTTTATACTATAAACTCAAATTCCTGAAACATTGCAGGCCAGTTTTAGCAGAAGAAAAATGTAGTCTTAAAGGTTTGATTCAGTAATACTACTAGCAGTGAAGGTGAGGAAAACTAGGAATAATATTTTGAAGATTACATAAAAGTAAAAATGTGAAATTGCATTGGTGATTAATTTTTCATTTTTAAAGGCCTGAACTATTTCACAGCAAGGATTTTATCATCTAAATGACTTAATTTCGTTATGAAATATATTGAAAAGGCCCATATAAACAGAGATGAAACTATACAGACAGGAAAGTGTTGAAAGCAGTCGGGGGGGAGAAGGAGCTGAACATGCTCAGTGAACATGCTCAGACATGACATTTGCAAAAGTTCATGCAGCCCCTCTCCGAACTAATGCCCTTTGCCTAAAAAACGAGCATAGCACCCCAGTTGTGGGGATTACAATGCACACTAGAAATGCCCCCTTTGCCCTT